TGATGCAAAGACAAGATACAAAAATCTACAAGAACTGAAAAAATGTTTGACTATTTTAACTATTTGCATGATCCCTAATTCACATGAACATAAATAATGAAAATAGGGTTTCTCAAAGATCCTCCATAAAATAAAATAAAAGTGTATATGATATAAAAATTTGTTTTTCTGTCTTGATAAGAAACTTGTTTCTGCTTTGCTTGACTGGTTGCCAAAGCTCTGTTCTTGTCTATATGAAAGTACAAAAGGTCAACCAAGGGTTGCCTCACCAAATAAATAAATAATAAATAATAATAAATAAATAAATAGCTCATGGATGACCTCAAAGACCTCAAGTGGATGAGGAAGCGCGTCATATGGATCTAGGGTAAGAATGTCCTGGTGAGAAGGGGAAAGAAGTACAAATATCCTGAGGCAGGCACCTACTGGCTGTATTGGTGTTAATAGTAGGGAGTCCAGAGTGACTGGAGCAGTGTGTCTGTCTGACAGAGTATAGTAGGAAATGAGGGCAGAGATATCAAAGAGCCAGAGAGTGTAGGGGCTTTTTCAGACCATCTCAAAAACTTTGGCATTTACACAAAATGAGATTTTAAAAGCCAACGTAAGGTTTTAAGTAAAGAACAGAATGATTCTACTTGTATTTTACAGAATTATTCTGGCTGCTGTCTTGAAAACAGAATACAGAAAGGTAAATTAGGAGGCCTGTAAGTTTGTCGCAGGAATTTAGGTGAGAGATCATGATAGCTTAGAGGAGGGTATTGTACTAGAGTTGTTGAGATGTCTTTGGATTCAAGATGTGACATGAAAGACTGGAGGTGGGAAATGAGAAAGGAGGCAAGGTTGTCTTCAAGGTTTTGTACGAATCAACTGAAAGGGTGGAGTTGCAACTTTTTATTGAATTGGGTCAGACTTCAGGAAGAGCAAATTCGCGGAGAAACTGAGAGTTTGGTTTGGAATGTAATATATTTAGACAACCAATGGAAATGGTATGAAGCCGATGGAGTGTCTAGAATTCACCAGAGATGTCCAAGAGCTGTAAATGTGGGCATTGTCTATGCGTTTTTAAAATGAAGTTACGAATTTTTACATTTGCCTCAGCCAAAAGGAGTAAGTAAAAAAATTGTCCTAAACTAAGAATTAAGCACCTGTGTGTTTAGCATCTTTGTTTTGTTTTGAAGAAATTTACTGATAACTCCTTAAGAAAAAGCAGAACCCTATGCCTCTGGGAGCTGACATTCATTGAGACAGTCTGGAGCCTATATGCTAACTGACTTCTTGTCAGAGGATGAAATCTTGTTGGTTGGTTCCTAGTTAATAGGCACAACTCAATTTGCTTATTGTTTATTTCACAGATGTATTACTACTTATTTCTGATTAACAGTTCATGTTTGAAAATGGATCTGAATCACCCATATTCTAAATATTAATCTATGCCAACTGATAAAAAGCTGGCAGTTTTATGGTAATGACAAAATTATCAGCTCTGTGAAATAATCCAGCACCTGCATTTAACTAGCTACTTGTGCAAACAATCCCAATACATTTTGGATTGTCCTGGTGAGAAGGGGAAACCGTCTTCTGGCTTATTCCAACATCAATGAATATTGAATGTTGACATGTGTTCGATCCATTTTTCTAAGAAATTGTACTTTAAGGAAAGAAATGCACAAAACTAGGCCACCTAGGGGTAGATAGAGAAGTCCCTGAAGGACTTCACCATTTGAGGGCTGGGGTTAGAGGAAGAACCGTCAAAGCAGAGGAGTTACTGGTTTACTAGGTAACTAGCACCCTTTATAAAAATGCATTAAGTCCTTGACACAGTCACCTAAAGAGCAGTTGTTATTAATCATTATCCCAACATCAGAGAATCATAACAGGGTCTCTGCAAGGGGAAACGGTTTGCCAAAGGATCATACATACTAAGATTCTAATCCAGTTTTGGCACATGTAACCTGCTGTTTCCTATTTTTGCCTCCATTGCTGGTGTGTAAATGCACTTATAATAGCAGTTGTTCTTCAAGGGGTTTCTCTGTTTTCCTTACAGGTGGGTATGCAGAGGCCTTGGAGGTGACTAAAGAAACACCAAGCCAAGGGGCCTTTAAGCCAAATTCCATCTCAGAGGAGACGTACGATGACGTCGAGTACTCTAGGAGACAGGGGTAAGTACATTCCAGACCTTCAGCAGTGCGGTGAGACTTTAAATAAATGTGGTGAGACTTTAAAGGTGCAATACAAGTTAATGGTGTTTGTTTCTTTTCTCCCCACAGATCAAAGTCAGACTTCTCTAACTCATTTGCCTCAGAAAATGGTAAGTATAAGAAGACATTTCTGAAACTGCCAATAGTAATTGCTGAGTGCTCTGTGGCTGATTTATGATAAACTCATTTTTTTATTTTTTTAAATTAAGTTTATTGGGGTAACACTGGTTAATACAATCATAATTTTCAAATGAAAACTGTCTTTTATTTATATATATTTTTAATAATACCAATTGGGCAGGGTGGTAGTAAGCTAAGGGAAGTAAGTGGTTTGAGGTATGTGCTGGTAAATGCATTTAGAATTGTGAAGGTAAAGATGCTGGTAATGGTGCTCATGTGGGGGAAAAAGAAAAAGTCAACATCACTGTGAAATTGCTTCCTTCCTGATCTCTTCACAACGCAGAACTGATTATAGGAATGTTTTTACTTAAAACACTTTCATGGCTTCCCAATATTTTTACAATCTACCTTAATATGGTCTAATGGTCTTGAGTGGTTTGCCCCAACCTGCCTCTGAGGCCTGTTCTCTCACTCTCTATACTCTATGTTTGAGATCCAGTCATGCTGAACTTTTAGCTCCCTTTCCAAGCTCCCACTGCAGGATGTTTGTATATACTACTCCCTCTTGCTGGAATTTTCTTTCCTCCCCTGGATCCCTTTGCCTAAGTTACTCCTAACCTTTCTTATATCAGGTCGATCATTATCCTCCCAGCGCATCCGATCTTTGGTATACAGTCTCAGAGTATCATGGCCCTCCTTTTCATAGCACTTGTCAGAGCTGTAATATATTTATGTGATTTTTTGATTAATGACTATCTTCCCTCCTAGAAGGTTTTCTTCTTTATGCTTACCGTTTTCCCTAGCCCCTACTATAATGCCTGGCACATGTTATATATTGTTTTAAATATTTGTCAAATGAATGAATGAAAAAAATAATGGAGGAATAATCAAATGCTACTCTGATTGTTTCTGTTCTTCTTAGAATGTCAGAATTTTAGATGGAGAAACTATCCTTGAGATCATTAAACACAGTATCCTCATTTTAAAATGGAAACTGAGGCACAGAGAAGTTAAATGACTCTCCCATACTCCTTGTGCGTGAGTCAGGTTCTGAACTTGAAAATACTGTCATCAGGGTAGACTCAAAGTGTATCTGTGACTACTAAAGCATATGTGCTGGGCTAAGCTAAAGACATGCCATTAAGGGAAAGATTATTCAAGATGTATTAGTTCTCCATTATTTCCCCAGAATTCAACAGTGTCTGATGTTTAGTAGATTCTGATTATTATATACTAAATATACAAGGGAGAGGGGCGGTAGAAGGAAAGAATTTGTTGATAAACCAACTTTCATTGACCAAATCAGATCAGACTTGGAATCAGGTTTTACATAGGTTTAATTATTTTTACCATATGCTTATAAAAATATTTGCATGTTTCAATAAAAAATGCTTAATAACAAAGATCAAACTATCCTAGCACCTGGTAGGTATCCAATAAATATTTATTAAATATGAATCTGAACTGTTTTTATAATGAATGAAAAGGTTTTGTTGGGTTTTTTTTTTAATTTCAGAAGAAAATAGTGAAAAAACGTATGAAGATGTCTACAAAACAAAGAGCAACTACTCAAAGATGGAGTGAGTTTCTCTTTCTTGGCTTCCTAGCTAATGATATTTCCTGTTAGTCTAAGAAAACCAGTTTAAGAAGTGGCTCCTTTGCCTGCCCTCACCATCTTAGGGAGGATTTGCAAAGAGAACAGAGATAAGCTATTTTAATACCACATGATGATCAACAGAATACTTGTAATTACATATGTTATAAATTTCAAATCACATTGCTTTCTCTTTTGAGAAAATGTCCATCTTCCAGAGTAGATAACTTTGATATTGTGTTAGAAAATAAGTGAGAAAGAAGTAAATGTCAATAAAACTTGCTTCAATTCTATAGTATTTTTCTAGGAAGACGTCAACGGTTATGATTTATCTGTGTTTTTGCAAGTTACTAAGACTGTCATTGAGATTTGGGCTTAATTTAGTATCTAAAAATTCAGTGTTATCAAGAATAATATTTGTTCAAGTGGGCATTATTTGTTAAGTTTAATTATTAGAGGCACAGTGTAGAAAGGGAAACAGCAATGGTAACAAACAAAAAGTTTGGGGTGAAGGAAAAAGATAGTATCCATGGTGAGCAGGACAATGTGCATATATTACTCCCTCTCCCTACTCCCCAAAAAAACCAAGAACGTCTTTGGAAAAATTTTATTCATCACCCGAGCAGTCAGTGTATCACCATTGTTGTATTACATCGTTCTGTAAATTAAAACTCAGCGACGTGAATTTCAGGAGCCAGATATTCTTATAACGTATTTCTAGTATAGTTTGTAAAATATGCTTCCCCGGATCATCTCTTCTAAAAGGAAGACTTTGCTCTGTGAACTCTGCAAAATAGAGACCATTTGCAGTAGGTGAAAATTCATATTAAAATATAATAATTCCCTTCATGGCTGACTGGTGTGTGCTATTTCATACAGACATCAAAACAAAGAAGAAGAGCACAGAAGTTGACAAGGCATTTCCCTGCTCTTCCTTGACTGGGATGTATTTTAGAAATGAGACAAAAGCCTCTGATCCTTTTTACTCCAACAGCCTTCCATCTCTGTTACTCTCTAAAATGCTGTGTTTATATTCTCTGATTCCTCTTAGTTCAGATGGAAAAGAAACACTTAAAAGACTGCAGAGGTTCTTCAAGAAAGAAAAGGATAGATTTAAGATGAAGAAAACCAAGTCAAAAGAAAACATAAGGTAAAAAATAAAAAAGTTTTTATTTCTTTGTATGAGAGGATTAGTGGTGTTGGCCTGGTAGTTATACAGCTTGATGTTCTCCATCCTATTCTCAAAAACAGTGGAGGGGATATCAGAAACTAAAACCAAAAGCTCTGGTTATTACCTACCTCTTTCTTGCCAAGTTTCGAGTGAACCATACCCACAGATATTAATGAAAAAGTGACAGCCCCTGTTGAAAAAATTGTTGAGAAAAGGTTGTAAACAAGGATACAGAGAAAGTCTTAATCTTACCACTAAGCATTATGTTATTAATTATGTCCTTTTTGGCTTTCTCATCCCTACAAGTTCCAGTGGTTTTGTCTACACTTCCTATTCTAATTTGTCTCTCTTGAGAAGGGCAACATGTGTAGAGGGGAGACGAACTTTTCAGCTGAAGTCCATGTATCTCAGTATTAGACCTGGAAAGACCCTCCAAGGTCACACTGGCCAATTGCCAATGTTTGGGAAATTAATACTTTCAGTGGTAGTAGAAAGAGACAGGAGGTCTAGATTTTGGATTCTAGTTTCAGCTCGTCCATTTATTGAGTCTATAACCATAGGCAAATCATTTCCCTTGTGCACCCATACAGCCCAAGTGTCCTCTTGTCTACAATGAAAGGGAGACTGGGTAGTCTCTGGAGGTACCTCTCTCCCTAATCTATAGATATAAGTATATAGGTAAACATATAAATCTGCATTTTATGAGGGCAGGAATGGTATAATAATTTGCCCAAGGTCATTACATATATTGACATGGAATTGTGTTATTCTACTTTGAAGTTCTTTCAATTACAAAGCCTCAAAGTTATATGATTTTAAGTCTAACTGTCTGTTGGATGTAGATCTACCAAAAGAGCCAGCAGAGTATGGGGTTTATAAATTGTAGTCTTGACCATCGAAGATAAGGGAGTTTGGCTCCAGTGGTCAATGAGACCTAAAATCAGACCCTGGCCTGAGCAGGTTAGATGCTTCTGACAAAAATTATTAGCATGATACCAACAGTCCCTTAAAAATTGGATCCAGGTGAGAATGGTCTGACTCCAATGACCATGTATTTCTTCTACTCCATCCTGCATATCACAGTCCTGACAGCATCCAGTCTGGTCTCATAGATCAGCGGTCCCTAACCTCTTTGGCATCAGGAACCAGTGCTCCTGTGAGAATCAAATGCATAATGATCTGAGGTGGAGCTGAGGCAGTGATGCTAGTGCTGGGGAGTGGCTGCAAATACAGATGAAGTTTCACTAACTCACCTGCCACTTATCTCCTGCTGTGTGGCCCGATTAGTAACAGGCCTAGGGATTGGGGACTTCTGTTATAGAAGCTAACAGCAGGGATCACTGAGCATCTATCTGCTCTGTCCCAGGGACATTCACCTAGGTATGCTCATCCAGTATAAAAGTAACTGTAAGATAGGTGCTGAGATTTTAGAAATGAAGAAACTGAGGCTTACATAAAGGATAGCTGATCTCGAAAGTACTCTTCCTTTGGACATTCCTTGATTATGTTTTTATCCGAGTGCTGTATTAATTTACTTTAGTCTCCTTCACTAAATCCCAAGCTACTTCAGTAAAGAAACTCTGTCTGATCATTTTGTACATGGAACACATGGGCCTGGCAAGTGTCCCCAAAATACCTGTAGGACTGAACTTATATTATTGTTTAAAATGCATGGATTTTTTTTTTTCTACCACATCATACTTCTTTCCACGTGATCTCCTTAACCATGAGATTTGAGGAGAACCAAACAATCTACCTGGGCCTAATGTCCTTTCACATTTAGCAATTTACCATCTTCCATTTCCACCTAGCCTAGAATTCTCCCCTCAAGTCATCCCTTTGGCCTACGTATATTCATAGGCAGGGTTCAGTGTCACCATAAGGTTGTTCTCTCTCACCATATTTATCCCACATTGTATGTATCTGAATGACATTGTGGAATGTTAGAAGGCTGAAACAGAATCCTGTGGATGGAGAAGGGCAGGGCTGTGGAATAGCCTGAGGATGTCTGCTTAGAAAAGGGAGTATAGCTGGTCACAAGCCCTACATAAGCTCATTTAGAAAGGGGGTGGTAAGTGATCAGAACAAAGCTGAAGGAAACGTTTGCTTCACATCTTTGCCTAGAAGCCTCTGTATTAAGAAACCTAGTCATCAATCTGCTATTCTGAATATGTTTTTTTTCCTTAAACCTTATGTGTCTTTTGTCAATCAACAGTGCATTTTCCATTTCACTGCCTGATTTAGGTAAGTGATATCCACTTTCTGCTGGCACGAAACTACTCAGTATTGGCATATGCTGGGGCAGGTAAAGAGAAGTAGTAATCCCTCCTGCATTCTGTATTTGATGAAAAACTGATACATTGAAATCAAAGATGAAATTTTACACAATAATATTATTGACTTTGGGGAAGATGAGAAATTTTCTCAAGTGCCTACTATATACCAGGCCTCTTAAATCCCAGTGAAATAGGTGTTATCCCATTTTAGGGAGGCTCCCATATCCACATCTCTACTTTAGTGATCTGGGATTTGAATTCAAGTCGCTCTGATTATGAAGCTCATGTATTTGACATTATGCCGCACAGCCTCTTGAAGGATTTTACACCCAGATCACCTTAATTAAGACATAATTTGAACATGATCACATTGCAGCACACATACTAACTGAATCAAAGATGGGTCAAATGATATATTGTTTGCTTTGCTATGAAAACAAATGTACATGTTAGCACAGTGCCTGACATATAGTATGTTCAGTAAGTTGACTGTCAATTAAAGAGGTCTCTGTGTTGTTGTCTGTTGGCTTTTGTTTATGGGCTCTAGCCATAGTGGCTACTTTGCTTTTATTCTGACTTGTCAATTCAAATGTATATTATATTCCACAAATATGAGTTTGCCAAACTAAATAACAAATGAAGATTATATAAACCCAGTAAAACTATAGGTCTCCCAAAATATCCTTGGTCCTTCGTTTAAAAGAAAAAAAAAAAGCCTACTTACAATAGGTAAGCATTGTGTCCCCCATCCAAACTTATGAATAACTGAATATGAATTATGAATAATTATGCCAGAAGGTCTCAAACTCATTCAAGTGGTGAATCACTTAAATATTCTAGAATTCTGTAAAGAGCATCAAGGAATGTGACTATCCTAAACTGAATATGTCTAATTATGTACAATATATACTAAGTCAGATTCCATTTTATGCAAGATTATTATAAAGGAGCAGTTGCCAATGGTTTGAAATAAAAATCATGGAAAAAGTCAACTATTAATCTGTTTTCTCCCCTAGGAATTAAGAAACACCTTCTATTTAGCAATATAACATCTTTGTCCAGTTCTAGATGATAGAAACCTAGTCTAAAAATGATCCTTTCAGCAACTCATATTTCTGGAAATCTGTATAAAATCAAATTGTGTGTCTGAGATATTAGGACATCTATTTTTTTAAACCCTCAGTTGAATTTCTTCCCAAATGGAGAACCTTTTCTTTCTTTGATCTTTTTAGTCCGTCTGCATTCTGTAATCAGATTTTGATAAAACCGGCTTGGGGATGCACCTGAATAATTGTGTGCAATCTGAGAAGCCAGGGACTGTGTAAACTATACCTAATTATGGACTATTTTGATCCTATCTTGATCCTAGAATTTAGGTCTCAAGAAGTTATTATCCATGATGACGTGAACATAAATGAAAAAGAGTCAAAGTAAGTCAATTTACCTTATTGGCCATCCCTGCTTTTTAACCCATTTCCTGGTGTTTTGTTAAATATGGTCAGAGTACCATCTTCAGATCCTTGGATACTTGATGAGAAGTCAACTTGTGGTACTCCCTTAAGAAGGAAAAAAAAAATAACAGGTGATCTAACAGTGGTAAGTGATTAAAAATTCACTGGAGCTTTAAATCTGTTTCTTATATTTGAATCTAGAGAATTGAAACTGATTTCAACACAATTACTTATTTAGTCATGTGTTATGTACAAGGCAATGTGGAAGATAGTGAGCACTATCTGATAGAACCTCTGTTCTCAAAGACTAAATAACTAATCTATCAAAAAAAGAAAGTATCCCAAAACTTGACTCTTCCACTCTAGCTACTTATCTGTCCTTTCCCTCTCAACTAAATGGCTGAAAATACAGGTCTCCTCCTTTTACTCCAAGATCACTGCAATTGGGTTTCTGTTCCTGTCACACTAGAGAACTTATTTTTGATAAGGTCACTATTAACTTCTTTGTTAAATCTAGTGGATACCTTTAAGTCTTTACTTTACTTGGCTCCTCTATAATATCTTAAATTGTTGATTATGCCATCCTTCGAAGGAAAAAATATTAACTTTTCCCCAGGTTTTCATGTTATTTTTTATTCATCTTTAGCTGTTGTTCCTCCTGTTTGCTTGTTTTTGGTTTTGTGCATATATGTGTGAGTTCTAATTTTACTACTTATCTCTTTAAGTATGTATTCCTAAGATTTCCTATGTCAGTTCTAGTCTATCTTCATATGTTCTTGAATGATCTCATCCACATCTAAGGCTTTAATTATAACCATTAAAGTAATGATATTAAAATTTATATTGGGGTCAGATTTCCTTCCTCCACCCTGCTGAATAACTCTATTTGAAACTCAGAATTCCATAATAACTAATTCTCACAACTCTCCCCATCCAAATATGGCCCCGTTTCTTCTGATCTCTGTGTTGGTAATTGTTTCAACACAGTTACCCAAACCAAAACCCTGGGCATTGTCCTCAACAATTCCTCTCCTGCCTTGCATCCTCTTCTGTCCCAGTAACTCTCAAAACACTCCCACTTTCCATCCCTACTGCACAGCCACAGTGCAAGCCCTCATCGTTTCTTAGCTAGATTGTTGCAACAATTTCCCAAATGGCCTTCTCATGTCCACTTCAGTTTATTCTCCAAACTTTCAGAAGTGCAGATGTGGTCATGTCATAAAACCAACCATCCACCAGCTTAAAAACATTTAGTGGTTTTCCCTTGCTCTCAGGATGAAATACAAACTGCTTAGGAAGACATAAAATTCATTAATTTCACATTGGAATTTGGTTGTTTGGATATTTTTAAAGAAAATATACAATGTATACGTTGGGAAGAGTACATAGTTGGGGAATGCCTCTATACAGGGGTGAGAATTTAAGAAAAAAAAGCGAATGGTTCTACCTATAACACTTTGCTATGCTTTTTGCCTGGTAATCTATTTTATTTCTCATTATTGAAAGCTGAATTCAGATTTTACTTTTCCCAGGAAGCACTCTTTGACCTCATCTATTTATGTTAGGTACCCCTTTTTTATCAGAAGATTTTTCTCATAGTTGTAGTGGTCTTGTTTCTTGTCTATCTCCTTGTCTAGGTAGAAACTCCCTGAGGTATGGACTGTGGCTTTCAAATTTGTATTATGTGGCCTCATACCAAAACGTAATTTGTTAAATCAGTTAACAAAGGGCCTACTAAAAAGAAAAAGTGCAAAATAATCTGGAAGCTCAAAATAGGCAGCCATTTCCATAATTTAGGGTTTCAGAAAAGTACATGCCCAGTTGAAGCAGGAAGGATAGGTAACATTTTGACAGGTGGAGACTGGGGATCAAGAAGAGAGAAAAGGAGGGTATGGGGAGGGGAACAACTATGTAAATAGAAATGATCACATGAGAGTGTTATAAGCAGGAAATGCAATTTGGCATGAAATGGAGAGGAGCCCTGGAATATCAAATTAGAGTAAGAATGAATTTTTTCTTAAAAATAAATTATAAAAATCAAAAGAAAATCAGAAACATATGTAAATTGTAAAGCATGACAAAAGAAATCCCTCTGAATCCATCACTCGACTTCAGAACTAGAATATGCCTTGGCTTCTCTACCTTGTGCACACCCCCCAGCCTATCTCATCGCCATTCCCCTAAGGTAACCGTTCTCCTAAACTTGTGTGTTTTATTTTCTGTTCAAAAGAAAAACAGTATTATCAAGCAGATGATTAAATATAGTTTCATTTGGGTTTTGAACACTATATAAAAATGGTATCATGCTGAATACAGAATTCTGCAACTTTTTTTAACTCAAAATCCATCCTTTTTTTCTTTTACCACTGTAATTCAGTCATTTTTATTATTCTATAATATTCCATGATATGTATATACCACAATTTAGCCATTCTCTTAGTTGGTAGGTATTGGGGTAATTTCAGATTTTTTGCATTTATGAATAATGCTGCTACAAATATTCTTATTCATGTCTCCTGTGAACATGTACAAGAATTTTTTGAAATATATATCTTTTATACACACACACAAGGAGAAAAAATGAAAATTATATAAGGGATACAAATTTGTAAGAAAATGCCAACTTGTTTTCCAAAGTGGTTGTACTAATTTACACTCTCCCTAGTGGTGTATAAGGATAATACTGACCCACATTCTCATCAACACTGAGAACAGGAAGAATTCTTAATTTTGCCAGTTTAGTGGGTAGAAAATACTATCTCATTGTGGTATTAATTTGTATTGCCTTCATTACTAACAATGATAAATCTCTTTTAATATGTTTATTCACCATTCATGTCTGCTTTCTATAGAAGACCTGCTCATACCTTTTGCTTGTTTTTCTATTGGATTACTAGTCTTTTCCTTATTTAGAGCTCAGAGCATTTTTATGCCATTCTAGATACAACTCCCTTGTCAATTATATGTATTTCAAGTATCTTCTTCCACTTTGTAGCTTGCCTTTTCAACTTCCTTTCTAGTCTTCAGGTGAATAGAAATTCTTAATTTTAATGTATTTGAATTAATTTACCCTTTATAATTGTTGCTTTTTTACCTTTTAAAGAGATCTTTTTCTCAAAGTCATATATTCTCCTACATTTTCTTCTAAAACTGTTAGTTTTGCCTTTTATACTTAAACTTTAGATCTGGAACTGGTTTTGTGTGTGTGTGTGTTTTTTTTTTTTTTGTATTTATAGTGTAGTAGAGATCTAATTAAATTTTCTTCCATAGAAATAAATGGGCTAGCATAATTAACTAAATAGTCCCTATTTTTTCCATTGATCTACAATACCATCTTTGTCACACGAGGTTTCCATATATCTGAAGATCTGTTTTCATGCTCTCTATTCGATACCAGTGTTGTTTCTATCCTTATTGCATTGTGGTCTGAAAAAGTAGTTGATATCAGTGTCTTCACATGTTTTAAGACATGATTTATGCCTGGAATATGGTCAATTTTTGTAAATGTTCCATGTGTACTTTAGAAATATATTAATTCTCTAACTTTTTGATATAAGGATCAATTTATGTCCTTTAAATCAAGTATGTGTTAGCTCTATTAAAATCTATAGATTTATGAATTTTTAAATGCTTGATCTATCAACATTTGAAAGAAATGGGCTGAAATCTCAAGCAAATATGGTATATTGGTCATGTTCTGCCAAAAGTTCTGTCAGTTTTTGCTTTACATATTCTGAGGCTCTTTTATTAGTTACAAACAAAATTTAAAATATCTTCTAGTGAATTGAATGTTTATGTTGTAGCCATCTCTATTCCTAATACTATTACTAACAAAATACTTATATAGCTCTTAATGTAGGTCAGTCACTGTTTCATATATTTAATATGTATTAACGCATTCAGTCTACACAACAATCCTGTGAGGTAGATATGTTTTAATACAAATTTATAGAAGAGAGACCGAGGCGCAGAGGTGCAGTTGTTCAAACTCACACAGGTAAGTGTTAGAACCAGAATTCACACCCAAGTAATTGGATGACTAATCCATTCTTTACTATGTACACTCGGCTCTCTCTCCTAGTGATTCTTTTTTGTTTAGAGTCTAATTCTCCAGAAATTATATGACTACTGATCTTTCTTTTAGTTAGTATTTCCCTATTATACATTTCTGATCCTTTAAGTTTCTGTTGTCCGTATTCTCATTCACTGTGTCTCATATAAATAGCATAGAGCTGAATCTGCCTTTAAAAAAAATTCAGTATGACAATCTGTCTTATCTTCTACCTTGTCCTTGACCTAAGGTTCAACCTTCTGAAATACTGTGGTGCTGATAACTAGCATTTTCCTCAGGACAAACTTGCCTTTTGTGCTTACATACTGCTAACCGGCTTTCTGTCCGGTTTCAGCTGGATTAGTGGAGGCTAATAGGACACTATATGTAGTGCTCACTCTAAACATAAAGTATAACAATTTGTTAAGACAAATGAAAACAAAAAATTTTATCCAGGATATGGTGGTTTGGTAATGGGAAGGCCCTTTCAGAATATGCTGCCCTATGAGGAAGTCCAGAACTCTGCGCAAGAGGACACTATAATCATAGCTACACTTCAGGAAAGAAATCCAACCCTCCCATAGAATGCCTTGAAGAGAAGGTCATAAGTGGATATGTTAGAATATTATTACAGTTGCTCAGGTGAAAGATGGTCAAAATGTGTTCGACAGTAGTACAAGTGGAGTACAAATGGAGAAGATATTTCAGGAGAACTTAAGTGGATTTTATTAAATTGTGAATTCCTCTGGTGGAAACCATATCTTCTTCATCTCTATTATCCAGTTCCTAATATAGCACTTAAAACGTGGTCGGTACACAAGGAATATTTTATGAATAAATGATATTTATCAAGTAACTTAGCTCTTTTTTTTTTTTTTATGTGACAGAGTAAATCTTCCATACTTTGGTCTCAGAGAAACCAATTATTAAAGGCACTTGTAGCAGATAGAACATTGATGGAAAGTGCAGATTTGGAATTAGAAATGTTTTTCTTGTAAGTTTGGCTAGTTTGAATGTCATGTCTTGGTAGGTGTTAGATTGAGGAGTAGCCTAAACCACAAAGGATTAAATTGTTGACAAATAATCCAGACCTCTGCTTTATGTTTCATTTCCTTTTGTTCATTAGAATATCTCCTAGTCACTCAGCAAGAGAAGGAAGAAAAGAGGGGAATCTTGAAAAGGACACCGAATGGTTTCTATAACTTGGCACCTGTGGGACCTGGGCATGTTGTCTTACTTCTCTGAACCTTAGTTTCTTAACCTGTGATATGGCAATAACAATCGTCATCTTGCCAAATTCGTTAAGCTCTCTAACTAGATCACTAGAAAAACTAAAATAAGTTAACAGAGACACAATGAGTTGACATTAATGCTCACATGGTTAGCATGGGTATACACTGGTATGATCTTTCTGAAAGAATAATTTGGCAATATGTATCTAAAATGCCCAGACCCTTTACTTAACACAGTAATTTCACTTCAAGCAACTAGCTCTAGTGAAAAATAAAGGACCCATAAAAAAAAATATGCACAGAAATGTCTATTTCAGGGCTATTTACAAAAATAAAATGTTTAAAGCTGCCCAAATATCCAATAATTTGCTTATTATAGTACTCATCATAAACATTTAAATATATGCTAAATATATACTAGTTTCCAGTCACAGGGAGAAGTGCTTGTACCATGACAAGTGAAAAATAGCAGAATGCAAAATGTATATAGTATACTCTCAATTCAGTTTTTAAAAGGGCTTAGAAAATGTTTAGAAGTAAACACAGATGTCTTTGAGAGGTCAGATTATGCTTATTTTGTCTCTTTTCTACTGCTTTCAAATTTTTAAATACTCAAAATATGTGGCTTTATCAGTAAAGAAAATAAACTTTCAAATAGGCATTTGCCTTGCCCATTCCCTGTCCTCACAGTTCTAGCTCTTTCCAAATAAGTCCATGCACAAGTTCTCTTTGAAGGCTTGCTGTATGCCTAGCGTCGTGCTGAGCTCACCGGACACATTGGATTATATGTTTGGATCCCATCTTCTGGGAACCTAAAGTGAGGAGAGAAAGCAAGTGACCACTGGACAATTAGAAAAGCAACTGCTGAGCTCCATGTTCTAAACTCCACAGTCAGTAGACAGTAAAAGAAGAAAGGGATGGAAGGAGATCCCTCGACAAGCTCTGGAGGGCTTCTTAAAAGCCTTCCCTAAGCTGCATCTTCAATGCTGGTCAAATGTTGAGTCCTTGACATTCTGTTGGATACTTGTGATCACAATGTGAAAGGGAATGGTGACACAATGTCTCTGAAAATCTCAAATTCCTGAGACATATATCCTTGTGGCCATAATTTACCCTATAAAGTTTTTGAAGTGTTCAAATGTGCAAGCACCAGAGATATACAAATGGTTGGTAGAGTAAAGTCCTGTCTTGCTCATGTTAATGATGGACATGTTGGTAATTTTGTCATATCCGGGAAAAAAACGTTTTGAAGTGACACGTATGGTAAAAGACCATTAACTTAAGAGTCAAATGCACCTGGGTTTAAAGCCTCTATTTCTGTGACCATGATAGTTCTCTGATCATTTATTTCCTCCTTTGTAAAACTTTATGAATGACTACCTTAAAAGACAGTTGCAATGCTTACTGTGAAAAACAAATTAGTTAATATATGTAAAATGCCCAGAGTAAGACTCAACACATAGGTGCTCAAAAAGTGTTAGCTCTTTCTGTAATACCCTCTTCCCTCCCTGAATCCTTTTCTACTAATGTTAAACAGTAGTTGGAGTAGTTTTCTCTCATGGTAAAGGTTAATATTATTTTTCACTATTAGAAGCAAAGAAAGTGAAGCTTAGAAAGGAGAGGAAGTATGATTATAAGCAGGTTGATCTCTTGCTTCTGGTTTCAAATTTGAATCACTGAAGATCAAGGGTCAGCAAACTACAGCCTGTGGGCCAAATACAGCTGCCACTTTTTTTTATAAATACAGTCTCAAAAGCAGAGTTGAGTGGTTACCATAGAGATGGTAAAGCTTGCAAAGCCTAACATATTTACTATCTGACCTTGCCATAGGTTATCAAAATATACTTCTAGATGACTTTAAAAATTTTTGGAAAACATAATTGCCCAGAAAGTGCTGATGGTTCCATAAATGTTTTTAGCTCAATCTTAATTTACTTGCTGAAAAATACTGTACTCCACAGAGATGAAGATAAAGTAAAAGCTTGGAAGCCCAAGTTTTTAGTACCAAAGGAAAAACAAGAAAAAACTGCTGAAGAATCAGAAAGGTAAGTACACAGGTGTGCTTACATTACAGCTCACCTACTGCAATTTATACCTTACTAGATGTGTAACCTTAGGCATGTCAGTAAATTTGATTTTCAGGTTCCTCATCTACAAAATGAGAATTATAACACCCAAATCATAGTACAGTTGAAAGGATTACAAGAGACAAAGAATAAGAAAATATAAAGAGTCACACACCTTATTTTCATCATCATTATCCCTACTTTTGGTGGATAGGGAGTAAGGAAAGATTTCAAGCTAGCCCTTATTAAACGATGAAAAACTTACAGTCTTCTTTTAACTGTACAGGCTTTTTCTCTGTAAGACAGACCTTAAATAACATAACAATTTGAACTTGAATGAAACTTTGAGAAGAGAAACTAGATATCATATAGTAAGACCAATTACCCTAAAATATAATTCTAGTTATGACTACGTTAATGTTAAATTACAAAAAAAAAATGTTTTATCAACTCAAAATCTAACTTTCACTCATGTGATTCAAGTTCCCATTAGTTGTTGAGAGGTGATTTTTTTACTGTCTCAAGATAGTTACTTGGTGCTGTGTGCTTCAGTCTTCACCTCAATTACTAGGAGATGGAGCTGTATCTGAGAGAAACTGTTTAACCAAAGTCTTTGGGAAATCCTTGTCTAAATCTGGGAACACTGTGTGGTCTGTCTTCTCTAGGGAACTTGTCTAGAAATGTCCTAAAGGGGCACCCCAAACGAAATAAGACATCGGTCTATACCAAATTTAAACTCAGAGGTTGGAACAGGATAATCCTTCCCCTAAGTTTACTTTTTTTGAGTTTAGACTTGATGCAATTTATTTTTCCCAAGTTAGAAAGATGTATTTACAGACTAGAAAAGCACTTCCCACCTTAAACTTCATTCTTTTGTGTAGCATAGCAAAACAAAATCCAAAAGAAGAAACAGTTAAACTTTTTACCTCCCACCCACCCAAAGAATAAGTTCTTAGTATTTTAATGACTATACATGTCTTTTTAGGAAACAGTTTGCTGGTGTTGTTTTTTTATTTCTTATAACAAAATGACATAGTTTACTTTTATTCTCAATTGAGTAAATTTTTGAAAATGTATGTTGAGGCTCTCACTACTCCTGTAGATTGATGTATCGATTTCAACGTACTCTTAGCTTCATTTTAAACGGTTTCTACCGTAATATATTCTATCATAAGTGATGTTTTCTATATTAGTTTGATACTTTTATTATCCCTTTATTAATCAAGATGATAAATTTTCAGAGACATTAGGAAAGGGTATGACACATAAAAAGGCATGGATATGACAGCCTACCTTGTAAGATGTTCCATGTAGACTTTGTATGTAGATGGGAAAGGGCGGCTGGAAAGGCAGATTGTGGCCAGAATATAAAATGTACTATGTACCATGCTAAGAAATATGACTTAATCTTATAGGAGGTAGAGAGAGAGTAGAAAGTTTTAAAGCAAGAGAGTGACATGATCAATTAAATTTTAGAAAGATGACTGGAGGTAGGTATGCAGGTGGATTCGCAAAAGGAAAAGCAAGAAGAAAATGGTATTTCAAGCAAGAAGTAGTCATAGCCTGGTAGTGGCTGTAATCTTTCTTAGATGGAATGAAATAGATATGTGACACTTCTGAATAAAACTGACAGGACTTGCTTGACCTTTTTCCTTTTGTTAATTCATAAAACTAATAAAATGTAGTGCCAACACCCACAAAAGACCAGGAGGGAGGAAAAGGGAGAATAAAAGCATAATCAGCCTCTGCTGCAGGGTTATCCACTTTTATGTCCTGAAATTTTTGCATTTATTTTGTGGCAACTTGCTTCATTTCATAATTCTATCCTCCATAATCATTCCGCAAACCAGGCAGCTCTTTAATCGATGCACAGGGATTTTTGATTCCCCAATTAAGCTTGAAAACTTAGAACACCAAAAAATATAAGCCATTTACTCACTCTTATTGGTTTCCATTAAATAATCTGAAAGGAATAGGACAATTTATAAATCTCTTTAAGTTTCATCTTTCTTAATTATACTTCTAAATCTGAAGTTTGTTGTTTAACTTAAATTGTTCAACCAATTAGATGTTATTTCAAGTTATCTTACTGTCAAAAAATTTTTTAATTGTAAGAGAAAACAACTGGTTTTACTTTGTTCAGTAGTTTTGACAATCTGCTCTAATGGGAATGTATGTGTAATAAAATTTACATAAAATTATACACACAAAAAAATTATACCTGAGTTTATCCTGAAATAGATTGACTTCATAGATTTGGAAACTTAGTTTTATTATTGTACATTTAACCCTACCTGTATTCTTCTTGCCAGTTTATCTCCAAGAAATTTCTTCAGAACCAAGAAGCAAAACTTAGGAAAAAAAAGAATGGAAAGAGAAAAACGTTTTAGAGAAAGATTTGAGGTATGTTATCCTCTGAAGGTAAAAATCAACAATATTAAAGGCTAGAAACTTGTTTTCAAAGATTCTGTGAGTGTGTTGCACCTCTGCCTCTCTGGGATTAAGACACGATCTTTGACTAAAAAGCTGGTATTTTTATTTTTTCCAGGTGCATTTCTGTATTATCATGCCTTTGTAAATGCTATTTCCTCTGCCTGGAAAAAATCCTAAATTGCTCCATTCAAATGTCACCCACTATTTCTAACTTTTCTCCAGGCAAAGTTACTCCCTCAGCACACTTTAAAAATTCTAGTATACACATATCCATTACAACAGTGATCAGCTATATTAAAACGTGTGTGCCCACAGCACATTTTGAACTAAACTCTTGAGTTCCTTTTGAAGGAGAGACTTTGTCTTACTCAAGTTTGCTCCTCAGCTCCCAACATAAAACTGGTCACACAATGTTCAGTGAATGAATGAATCACTAAACAAATAAATGAACAATAACTGAATGAATGAAGCAGCATCTGAAGCTCCTTGACTTCTTATCTTGTCATGGAGAGTCCATGGACACTTTTCCCATAATTCCAACTAAACCAAAAAATTTAGTTGGAATAAAACAATCCTCCCTTGATTTCATATACTGTCAAAATAAGAATTTATTTTTTAAAAAACTGAATACCTCCCATGTGCTAGGCAATGGATTGTGACAGAGGGCATACTGCTCATAAAATTTGTCCAAGTCACTACTCTGCCTAAAATCTTTCAGAAGTTTCCCAATGCCAAATGGGTAAAGTTTGGGCTTCTTAACATGGCATACAAAGCTCTTCATGTCTTGACTTTTGCTTGTCTTTCAGATTTTATTTCCTGCCATTCTTCACCTTGCACTTTGTGCTTTGGCCACAAAATACTCATAGTTCTGTCCCTTGAATGAACCTCCACCTCCATCCTTATCCTGTTTCCTTTCTCTAGGCATTTACTTTGTCTGTTCCAGCTGTCTGGTATACCTTGCTATTGTTCTCCATCTTACTAGCTCTTGATTACTTACCCAGACCCAGCCGACGAATTTCCTCTACTCCAATACTAACTCAAACTAGCCAATTAAATAAATTCCTCTTCCTCTATATATCTATATACCTGAGCAAAACTCTACCTTACCACCAAATAGTAACATTATTGTAATTATGCTTTTATCAATTAAACTGAGCTTCTGGAGGACAAGTTATATTCATATTCATGTGCAGAGCAGAACAGGACGATCTAATACTTTGCAAACATCCAAAAATGTTTTTTAGGCTAAACTAAAATAGAAATATATACAAATTCTTCATAATCACTTAAAACTCCTGCTTGAACCAATGTCAATTAGGGTTACTATTAAATTGTGGTAGGAATTTATCAGCTGCCAACTGTGACCTTACATGACTAGTTGAAAAACAAGTAACAACCATTATTTGTTGAAAAGACCCCTACGTTCCATCTAGTGTTTTTCTCTCCCACTGCATCTGGCCTGTCTTGTATGGGACAGAAATTCCATTCCTCATATGTACATGATTCCATTCTTCCTTATTACTTGTGGTGGGTTTCCTTGATATGCCATTAGAAAAAGTATGCCGTTTTATTCAATTCAAATCACAAAATATCAGGTACATTTGTGCCAGGCACTAGAAGTACAAAGATGAATAGAAATGTCTTTCATTTTCATTTTATAAGACAAAATGTTTATTAAATGCTACAATGGGACTATATACAAAGTACAATTAAAACAATAAATTATACATGGCAGTTGTGAAAGTCTTGATGCAAGGTGGTTAAGAGAAAAAAATGGTACTTCAGACAGAATAGCATGAGCGTTGGCATGGAAATATGAAAGGTAAGTGCTATATTCAAGATTATTATATAGCTTAATGTGGATTGAGTAACAGAGACAGAAATGGGGGCATGGGGAATGATACTATGCAAAGGAGCTTGAATGTCAAGCTAAGAAATGTGGATCTTATCCTGAAAGCAATGAAAAGTTTTTAGAACTTTTGCATTCTAAGAAGTCATTGTGTATTCACAGTGAACAATGGCCTGGAAAAGGTAAGAAATCAGTTAGTAAGCTATTACTTTGTTAGGCAAAAGCAAAACTTTTTATGTAGATCAGATCCCACTTGGAATAGGGTGATCTTATAATTTATCATCCAAATTCAGGACACTTCTGAGAATGAAAAGAGGCATACCTAATTATAATAATAATTGTAAATAGAGACATTAGGCATAAATACAAGATTGTCCTGAGCAAAAGGAGATGTCTGGTCATCCTAATTTGGTGAAGTATACATCTGTAATTATGAGCAATATATTTGGAACTATTTTCAATCAACAGATTTCAATACATTAGAAGGTGACGTACCTGTAGATGTACAGGCCAGCTAGTTTATCATGCAGAAAAAAAATGCCCCCGGGATCAGAAATTGAATTTCTCATTAGTTTTTTTCACAAATACCTGTCTTGGACCACAAAAGGAGAGTAGGAACTGCCTCTAAGCCCTACTTTAAAGTATGTGTTCTACAGCTATGTATGAGAATATATAAGCCCACCCAGAGAGGAAGGGTGGGAGAGTCATATCTAGAAATGCTAGGTATGTAAGAAAGTTACAAACTAAACCACTTCACAAAGAGGTTTTTTTCTTTCCCTCTTTTTTTTTTTTTTTTTTAACTTCTCCTTTCCTGGGTTTGGTAGTAACCTTATTACTGGAACAGTTAACGTATTATCCACAGTACTCAATTTATACCCAGGCTTTTCATTTCATTTCATTTCATTCCCAAGAATTCATTCTAGTACAATTAGATATTGCATGTGAAAAACACTTTGAAAATATGATCATACCAAACAAATATAAGATTGAGGCATTTTAGTATTTCCTTAAGTAACTTTCCTTTCACTGAATATCTTGCTATTCCTGTTCCTTTAGATATTACTTAATATCTAGCATCCTGAGTTTATTTTGAGGTCCTCCATTAATTTTATTATAATAAAAAGATAAAATTGATGCAAGCATAGTCTAATTAGTAACCTCTCATTTCAGTATGACAAGGAGATTACTGTCATCAACACAGCAGTGGCATGTTCCAATAATTCAAGAAATGGAATATATGATTTGCCAATAACCCCTGGAGAAGAACTGGAAGTCATTGATGTCACTGAAGAAAACCTAGTAATATGTCGTAATTCTAAAGGCAAATGTAAGTTACTGGCTTAGTGACCATAAAATTTCTCTGTTTTAAAAAAACTCAGGGCATTAACTTTCAGATTAGTAATAGTGATTTTTGTTTCTATAGATGGATATGTACTAATTGAACATCTAAATTTCAAGTAAGTGGTTTGATTTTGTACTTCATTTCATGAATTCTAAATACTTAACATGTTGTGTACATTAAAGACTACTGAATTTATTTAAATTCAGGAAAAATTTTGAAAATTAGGTATGTACTACCCTATTTTATAAGGATTACTCTGGAAGAGACTTTATTATTCTGTCTCCTGAGTATGTTATCAAACTTCTCTACAAAGCATACTTATAAACACTTAAAGTAACAAAAAAATATTAAGCTGGATAGGAAATTCCCCAGAAATCTCCTACTCACTACTCTACTGGCCTATATATTTTCTTTTTTTCCTCAGGCATCAAGGTTGATCGCCTTAGGAAGAGCAACATCAAATGTATGGATGCACAACTGAGAACTACTAAGAACTACTAGTCCTGCCTCATATGGGTTTCAGTTTACATGTCAAAATGAAATAATGGGTCTGTGGAAACTTTTGTTAGAAACTTAGAAAACAAAATAAATCCTCTATATTGAGATGGTTTTACTTCTGAACGGTTATTTTTCAAAGTCACTTCAGTATCTTTTTCACTGATGGCTCAAGAGAATGTGAAACCGTGTTAGCATTTGAGTACTTGTTTAATGAGCCATGTCCAAAGTTAGAAATCATGCCATATGGCACCCAGTCAGTTGTACAGATGGTTAGTTTGCTTCTAATATTAGCGCACGAGTGTTTATAATTTCTAAAAGATGCTGTACATTTAAATTGAATGTAATCTAATTCTGAAAAGTAAATGGTGTAACCAAGGTCTTTTAAATGCTCAAAGTATAATCTTAAAATAATTATGAAATGATTATGACTCAGTCTTTAAAAAAAGAACAAGGTATAAGTGTTCTGCATTATCACAAAACCAAAATCAGATTCGAAATGCTGCTGCTCAAAATTGTTTTTTTGGGGGGGAATAGTCTGCTGAATGTAATGTATTCCTAAATTCATCCAACATCATTTTAAGAAGTGCCTAAGTATATTGAACAAAATTTAAATAATATATATGCTGTATCAGTTTAAAATACCCTGTTGTACAAAATAGTCATTACTTTGTCTGTGCCTGAACACCTATTCGAATAATAGAATTCATCTGTATTTTTACTTATATGAAAGTAAAGAAAAATTTAAAGACCGAACTGTTAACATTCTATTTTTTAAATGATGTACACTGTTTATTAAGCAGGGTGATTCTGGCCTTCAAGGCTATGATGGAATTTATTCTATGGCCTCATCCTTTATACCGTGAGATTATTTCTCAAGTTTCTAGGTTCTTTTATCCTCTTTTTCATGTTCCAAATGGCACTTGCCAATGAGGGGAAATAGATACGAATGAAATGCCCAGAAGATTAAGAAAGGTTTTACAGATATGGTGACACTGAAGCTTGGTCTTTAGTCACAAGTATATTTTCTAGACAAGGCACAGAGATGGAAAATCCATGTTTTGTCTAATGACTAGGAAGAACCTCAAAGTAAACGGAGTGCACTGTGTCTGGTGAGAAATGGCAAGAGCTGGAATGGGGTAAGTTGGGGCTAGAATGTGACAGAGTTCACTTGGCCTTTTTCCTCTAGAGAATGGGGAACCATTCAAAGGTCTTCAGGAAGGCAACGCCATATGTTTACAGAGAAAAGAATCATAACAATATGGGTGCTAGACTAGTTATTTTTGAAGTACTAAAGGCAAAAGAGCATTAGACTTTAAAACAGCAGCAATTAAAGTTCCATTAGAGAGATTACAAAGGTAGAGAAACAGAATTAGGGAATGACTCTGCTTTTTTTGGGAGAGGAGATTAAGGATGGTACCAAAATTTGGGAATATATTTCTGCTTGTATCCCCTTGAATTAAATTTACCTACTCAGTGAGAAGCAGGGCAATGAGGCAACCACAGCCCTCTCCCATACTCTATGGCCCGACCTGTTACAGTGGGAATTATAGATGAGGAGGATAAGTATGACATGCGGGCAAGAAGGTGAGAGTGTTTAGGGATATGTTGAGAAGAGACCTTTCATGCAATAATCCTGTACAAAAGAGAATCGTAAACCATATATTACTCTTGCCACCTCACCAAAACATGACGTATTTTAAATCTTATAGTGGCAGTGGAGCTAAATTTGAACTAAGATTTGTCCCATATACTTTCCATCTCATCACAGGGCCTCTTGTTCTAATTCCATGACTCAGCTCTGAGTCTCAATTTCCTCGTCTTATAATATTCACCTTGTCTACTTCACAGGGTTGGTTTCGACCTGCAATGTAATAAGTAAAAGTGCCCTAAAAATTTTAATATACAATACTAAGTGATGTTATTTTAGTACCTGACCTTTTCTGAAATTGGAAGAAGTTGAAAACAAAACTATGTTTTGAAATTCAAATCTTAAGACTTGAAAAAATGGCCAGGATGTAATAATTAACTTTATATAGATACATTTAATAGAATTTTAAAACTGAATATTTTTCTCTTTTTAAAGTATAAACCATTTGATTTAAATAAACTAGTACCTAATTACTATTGATATGGAATGTATTTCTAGGAAAAATAATTGCTTCTATCAATTCAGCCCATACTCAATATGATTTTTTCTATTTCATTGTCAGCCACATTTCTTCCATTCTTTAAATAGCATTGAAACTAAATTTCTCACACTATGGATTTCAAGATTCTTTAATGTAAACATTACAACTAAGACTTCGGTGATGTCATCTGTCTCCTAGAAACTCTAATCTAGCATAAAGTTTCAATGGAAAGACTGAGACTCTATTGTACTTTTAATTTTCCATGAAAAGATATCTTTTCCATGAAAGGATACTTGACCCTAAAGGAGACTAACACTAGCCATGCAAATTCATTTATAGGCCAAGTCACCAGCAACCTTTTAACATACACCAACAAAACTTTCCCTTCCTCCTTTAAGTACCTCTTGAAACACTTGGTCTTCCAAGATGACATAGTATTCTCTTGACCCTCTCCTGCACATCTTCGGAACTTTTAAAACAGATTCTAGGTGGAAGAACAGGAAGAAGAAAAAAATGAATATAAAATGACAAATTCTTAAGACATGGTTGTTTCTGGGCAACAGGGTCAGGATGATCTTTTTTTCGGCTTCTTCAACCTTCTTACAATAACCCTCCATTATCCACACAATTTAGGAAATAAAGGAAAAACATTTTCACTAATAAAAACAAATTCATTCTTTTTAAAGTTTAGATGAAGCAAATTAATGACTAGAGCACAATGTTTTTCAAAAAGTTGCTTTTAAGTATATAAATAGGAAAGGTTACCATTATCAGTAGGACATAGGATCACATCTGTGTTGCTTACTCTGTTCTCAGTAGCTATTGTTAGCATGAGGTCTTCGAGGTCTTTCCCTTTGTATTCTATGGCTGTGGTAGACAGAATTTTGGCCTCAGTGATCTTCATGCGTTGGTATACCTGTAAATGTTATATGGCTTTGTAGATAAAGTTAGTGTTGCTAACCAGTTGACTTTAAAATAGGGAGCTTATCCATGTGAGCCTTACAGCATAGGACCTTAAAATCAGAAGAGGAGGGCAGAAGAGTCAGTCAGCTAGTCAGATGCAGTAGAAGAAGAGGCAGGAAACATTTGAAGCATGAGCTTTGAAGGCTTTGAAGATGAAGAGAGCCATGGGCCAGGGAATGGTGATGCTCTCTAGAAGCTGCAAATGACCCTTAGACAAGAGGCAGAAAGGAAACAGGACCTCGGTCCCACAGCAGCATGGAACTAAATTCTGCTAACAACTTGAAAGAGCCTTGAAACATATTCTGCAGAGCCCAGCCCTACCAACACTTTTGTTTTTGGCTTTGTGTGATCTGAAGCAGAAACACCAGCTAAGCCTACAGAAATTCTGAGTTACAGAACTGTAAGCTAATCAGTTTGTGTTCTTGGAGTGAAGTCAGCATCATGGCAGAGTGAGACAACTCCATTGTATATTGCTTTCAATCTACAACTTGCAGGACATTTATGACCCAACACAGAGGGTGCTCTGCTCAGTACATTGGGACACTTGAAAGAGCTACACATTGACATCTGAAAGTGAGTATACCGGCATGTATAATGGAGGCAGAATAGTGGGGGAGGAAGGACAGGGATAGAGCCCCAGCCCTGGCTCTCTGACTCTTGTTCCTGAGCCCATATTCCCAGCAAAGGTGGTAGTGGCAGAAGAGTTGAAGGGTGACCCCCACACCACACAGCCTGGCAGATGGTATGTGTGACAGTAGCAGCAACAACACCTAAGAATCTAGCTCCCTCCCATGGATTGTGGTAGTGACTGTACCATGGAAAAGGCTGGTAGCAGCAGTGGAGACATGTCTCCAGGGTCCCAGCCATGGCACAACAGCACCAGTGGCCACAGGGAACCAAGTAGCAGTGTGGTAGGCTCACAAACCTGGCCACCCCCATACCTGCCACCTCTCCTTGCTATCGTGGTGGTGGCACAAGACCTAGACATCCCAAACACAGTAGGGGCACCCACCACCCTGGTCATCCAAATGGCAGATCCACCAATCAGGGCAACACCCTCCTCCAACCGCAAAGATACCAACAGTAGGGGCACCAGAGATCAGGAAGGCACAAGTAATATGCAAGTTAAGAGAAAACCAAAACGCACTACAGCACCATCTACTGGAAAATAGGACCTCTATCAACCTGGTGAATTGTTAAAATTGAAATGGTACCTAAACACAAAAAGTGTTCACTACTTTAAATGCGCCAGAAGAGGAAAAACACCAAACACCGTGAACAAGCACGGTAACATATCACGAAAAGAAAATGACAATTCTCCAGAAACAAAATTCAAAATCATGGAAAACTGTGATCTAAATGATAGCGAATTTAAAATATCATCAATGAACTCAACAAAATACAAGAAAACTCAGAAAGGCAATTCAACAAGCTCAAAAATAAAATTAACAGAAGAAGTATTTTATCAAAGAGACTGAAACTCAAAGAACCAAGCAGAAATTCTGGAGCTGAAGAATTCAATAAATGAG